TATGTAAAGGTGTAGGTTAGGTTGGAGTGGCATCCATGTGCTCCAAAGCAATATTAATTTAATATTTTAAATTGTAGATGTGTGAAGATGCATAGTTGGTTAGGTTGGAGTTGCGTCCATGTGCTCCAAAGCTCGCTTAAATATCAATTATGTCCCATAATGTTAACGTAGATCAGATACCTTCCTTCGATTGCTAGACCTAAACAAACAGCTTGAAGGTAGAAGGCTCAAGCATTAAGTTCACGAAAGGGAGTGTCTTTCAGAAAGCTTAACTTCCCTATTTAGCTAGAAGTGAATGAATCTGATAAGAGTATATGGTATACTTAGCTAAAATGCATAGTAACCAAGGAATGAAAATAAACTATGCAGCATCTAATTTAGTGAACGGTTTTGTAATTTTATTTAAAAACATTACGTTTGTTGTCATCTTGGCTGATGAAAAAATTATTTCAAAACTAAGCACTGATTTGTGTTTCAAAAAATTGTTAAATAATGCATTTTACATTAAAATTGAAACTGTGAATGTTAATAATTTATCATTAAATTATTAAATCTGTGGAATATTTTCTTCTTTTGTATTGTTGACGGGCTTCACAGCTTATAATGGAAATAACGTATAACAAAAAGTGAATATTGTTATATCAATTTTAGATAAATAAAAACTTAATGGAATATTAAAAATTTAAATATGTTAAGTCAAAATGTATTTTTTTTTAAATGTGAAATGCAAAATTAAGAAATTTATGGGGATCTTTGTCAATGTGATCATGCAATAGGATTTTGATCATTATAGTATATTGGCAACTTGCAAATTTGTTAAAAAAATTAATATCTTTCACCTTTTTGAATTTATTTCAGTATATCGTATAAATATATTTTATTACATATATGATTTATAAGTATTATTTTATACTGTGTTAGAGTAAATAACTTTTAATGATTGCAGTTCCACTTTTAATCTGCTCTATTATTAAAAATAGTATATTTAAATTTAATTCTTTTTGACTTTCGTTTTGACTTTGTGATTATCTTTAACTTTTTCGAAATAAATTAAAGATGTCGGACACCTTTCCAATTTGTTATATATGTCATATTTCAAAAAAAAATTAATAATTTTTGTTTTATATAGTTTTTTCTGTGTATTCAATAAAACTAATTAACGATGTCTCGTGATTAGGCTATGAATATGTTATTTATCTACGTAATAGATAATACAAAAATGTGAACAATTAAAGAAGAATTATTATAAATTATTTTTGATAGCTTTTCAATAGAAAATTGACCACAAAAATCCCCACTCTTCAAGGTGTTATGAATTGCTTAGAATAATTGAGTGTGCCAATCCCATTTTCCCTAATTGCCTTGGCGTTAAACATGTGAGCTGTCATTAACATTTTGTCATTCTGATATTGTTTGTATAGATGTTTTTCAACTGCTATATCATATTTGATAAAATAACAAGTGGATATAATTGAATAAAATTCAGAAAGAGTGATAAAAATAGTAAATTAAAACATCAAAGACTTCAGTTACAGACGATCAAAGACGAAGCATAGCTTTAACTGCTGAGAGCATATGTTTTCTATTCCTTTATCACTGTTTAATGCTGAGAATACAATCAACGCCAAGCGAAAGTTAGAAAAACGATGATTTGATTGCTAAGGCAGATGCTTTTCTCCCTAACATTCACTTCTCAGATATAGGTGTTCCAATTGCTACAGTTAAACTGGCAATTAAACAAAAATACCTGAGCATAGCCAAGCAATACTGGGCTGATGAACCTCATTGTCAAATACCTAGGTTGACTTGGTCTAATTTGGACAAGAAACGAACTAATCAGTTACTTCAAGTAAGACGGAACCTGCTTAGCACCACGGTATCTGTGCTGACGGGCCAGTGCGAAATAGGAAAACATGCTATTAAACTGGGTCTACCCGACAATGAATTTTGTAGAGGTTATGGCTCTGAGGATGAAGAGGAGACCGTGCCCCATGTCATGTGTCAGTGTCCTTCTTTAGCTAGCAGAAGATCAAAAGAACTGTTAGGTTGGTTTTCTTTTACCTAATGGAGGAGTCGTTACCTTTTTCGGCGTTAGCTGTATACTGACTTAAGTGTATGTAAGTACAAATGCTACTCCTGTGGTACCATAATGGGTGGGCTACCTACACTTTTTATGTCTAATCTCGTAATAATTATATTTTAATCATTATATGTTTACACTTACAATCATTAAATCATAGCACATTATTTGTATGCATTTTGTATGTATTGACTTTTAAATGTATTCAAATGCACTATTAAGTGCTGATTTGACGGTAATTGATATAGTTTTAAGTATTAAGTATTACTTTTGTGTTTTATATTGAATATTTAAGGATAGGAAACTAGCCTTTATTGCTGCACATTTGTCGAGTTATTTGCCATCTTATAAAAGTATTAACTGAATGAAGTGGTAGACCGTTACATACCTATTTATAATGAAAGAGTAAACATGTATTAGCTAATCTATATAACATTTTATATGCAAAAAAGATAAATTATATTTATTATTATAATTTATAATTGGGTAGAGTTGAAAACAATAAAAAATAAAAGTTCAATGTTCAATAGGCATACCTTCAGTGCTCTAATTGAAATGTTGGAATATTTTTATAGCTTCCATATATTTCTGCTAATGCCTCTGATTATTTATTTTGGCAGTATTGTCTAATTTTTTTAATCAGTTACGATTATGGCGCTTATCAAGCCATTCCTTTTTGTTGCAGATAAAAAATATATTTTTTTGACAATTACTGCTGACATTGATAGTGGTTAACACGTATTTTTTCATTTTAAATTTTTGCTCGTGTTTTTATTCTACAATATTTTATTTTTTAAGGTTGTTATAATGGTTCATTGTAGTCTCACTTACCATACATACGAGCATATATCAAATCTTATTTATCTTTGATTTTGAATTGTATCGAGGTTACGAATGCTTTGCTGTTTAACTTTGTCGGCGCCTGACATTTATGATTGATTACAAATAATTTCTTACATAATATAACATATATACGAAAACGAGTAAATATCGGAAGAGGTGCGTTAGAGTTGAGGGTGCACTTTGAAAATTAGAATAGTCTGAAGTTCAAAATAATTAGTAACCAAATCTTGTAATTCCTTATTTACCTGATTTAGTTCGAAATGAATAATTATTAATATGAGTCATATATTTTAATCAAATAAAAAGAAAGTTAGCATAAGATAGCATTACCAATCATTCATGTTGGAACTCATGTTGGAAAATGGATTTTTAACTTATTTTTGTGTGTTGTATTTTGTGCTGATTTTAGACAATAAATGATATTACTTTAGATCCTTTTTTAACTATAAAACATTAATAAAATTTAACATTATTTAAATATATGTTAAGGTTTATATAAGTTGTTGAGTCCTTCACGCAACAACTTGTGAAGTATTAAGCCCTTTCTGGAATCTTAGATATAGTATAACAATTATCTCAGTGTAAAACAAATAAATCTTCTAACAGTTCTTAGTATGATTATTTGCAAATGATTACTTCTTAGCAAAGAATATAGTGTTGAGATTGTTTATATAAATACTGAAAGTCGACTTCAATTTATATTTAAATAATATTATGCTAAGAACAGGATGCTGATATATAACCAAATAATTCGTTCGTCACTTTTATATGGATGTGTAACGTTTAGCAAAGCTTCAAACACTATTATCGCCAGCTAGAAATTGTACAAAGCCAGGCTTTGAGAAGAATTTTCAAGCTATCATGGTACATTAGGACGAATGACATTCTCAGGGATCTCAAGATTGATCCGATCAAAAAATACATAAAGGATAGAGCCCTGAAATTATTTGCGAAAACTGACCTTGCCACAAAAGTACATGAATATCAAATGCAAATCCATTGGACGTAGGGCCTTCGTTTTTATGGAGTGGAATGTTACTTATTAACTTTATATAAATACAAATATGATGTAATCACCTGATCATCATATTCGTCATTTCAGTCTTACGGATGTCATATTCCATGTTTTTCATAGGGAGTAGTTTTGCGTGCTGTTTGCCTGAATGATTTAGATTATGTTCGTTAATGGGTGAATACCATAGAGGTATAAATGTTTTTGAACTTTTAATACTAATATACTTATCGAATAAAGTTACTAAAAAGTTCTTTAAGTTATGTTGTCATAATTGAAATGATACCTTTAGAACTGTATGTGTACTAATTATAGTAAGCATTAATGATCATATAGAATATGCTTGAAAGTTGCAATATTTCTAGGAGCAAACAAGTCGATTCTCGTTTCTGGGTTAAAATATAAAATTCTGTGAACCGGTTTATCTGAAAGAACAATTTTATCTTTACTAAAATAAACAGAAAGTTTTATGGTTAAAGTTTTTCAAACTGCAAACAGAAGACTGCCTAAGTGAGCAAAAAGTTTTTAACCGCATTTTGCATTAATGCGAAGACAAGAAATGGAAATCCTTACAGTAGGTAAAGAGCAGAACTCTCACTATCACGTGAAAAAGTTTTGGACAAAATAGAATGAAAATAAAAAAATTGGAAAAGGTATAGTTAATAAACGAACACCTGTCAACTACTTCACGATATCCTTGGCAACCAATGTTAGCGGACAAAGCACGTGCAACACATGACGCACATTGTTGTTGCATTGAAGTTGGTAAACAAGGGATTTTGTTTACCTACCACACGATGAAATGCATTTTGGGGTTGCAGATGCATTTATGTTAAATTTGCTGTCCAGTGTATGATTTGGCCCACTATAAGGCGCTTAATCGATATAAAACAAGCGGGCGAACCCATGCGTTAGCAACAGAGCAGAAAAGTAGCCACAACAAATGTCCTCAAGAAAGTTTTTATTGCTAAGTTAGCAGTCCAGTTTCAAACGTCAAATTGTAATGATAGTAAAAAGCAAAATTTTATTTCAGAAATTCTGAACATTTATTAGATATTTATTTATTTTGAATATTAAATTTTGACAGCAGACAAGTTTAAAATTTTTTGATATGCAAGTATATAGAGAAGAGCAAGTTATTTTCAATTTGATATGGATTTTTGTCTCAAAGGGTCACAGGTAAATATTAATTTGTGTGCTTAAAAATATTGTCAAATTTTAAAAGTAAAATAATCAAATGGAAATGATATTCACCTTAAGATACCCTTCAGTAATGTCTTGATATTTCAGATAAACCTTGCGAGACGTCAACAACCAAAACCGAAGTATTCACATATTAACGCTCTTCCAGTAAACATTCGTCCACATTCGGCTACTCTATTCTTTAGGCGTAGTCACTCGTCACCATTCTTGAGGCGTCCACAATCAGCTGATCCAAAATTTGGGCGCACAAGCAGGTGCGACAGCGTTTGCGGTGCCTATTGCAATGACAAAAACTATCCTTCGAACTTAAAAAATAATAAAAACAAGGTATGTAGAGCTAAGTATTTATTTGATAAAACATTTGTTCGTAACTAAGTTGATTATTTCTTGAAGATATTTAAGTGAATAAATCTACATAGTTTGCTAGTTTTAATGTAATAAGACTAAATAATTTAATAAGTAAAACAAGTTCATATTTAATATGCACTATGTGAGAATCATGTAGTTCTTTTAGTAGTTACCAAGTTATGAAGAGGGTACTAACCGCTTATTCTCACACAAGATCTATCTAATCCGATTGGTTAAGGAAAAACCGTTCTTAATATAAAAAATATTTAAAAACAAAATCACCTTAAATATAAACCAGTTAATATAATATATCTGCATTATACATATTAAATAATAAAATTACATATGTGCTTCTGCTATTACTTATGAATGTTTTCTTCTGTTGACAGCCAAGGTGTATACATTCACTTTCATCATCAAATCTCTTGAAGCTATTGTTGGAAGAACCAATTAAAAGATCCTGGTTACTTGACAATCCAGTAACAACACGTACGCCTTCAATTGACTGTCAATCGGAATTGAGTACACCTCGAAGAAACTCTAGTTTATACAATATTGATAGAAAATATTTACGAACAACTTCAGTGGATAGTAGCAGTGTGGAAAGCGAGAACTCAGACAAGCACACCAAATCGTTACCCATAGATATACATTTAAAAACTAAACAAAGGTTAGCGTAAAACCGGCTAAAGAAATATATATTATTAAATTTCTAAATAAAAATTTTTTTACAGCTCTGCCTTGGTAATCAACAAAACCATGCACAGCTTTACAAGAGAAAAGTCAACATTAAACACAACTTCCCGTTATAGCCAACAGCATAATGCAGATTATTGGCTGCCAACAAGCAATACGACACAACTCTCTACCACTGCCACTATAATAAATAAATCTACTAAACCCGATCTTCCAGGCCGTGTTTCGTTTTCAAAGCCCAGTTTGCAAAAAGATGTGGACTCAAGTGATTGTGATAACGACAAAGGGGACGCATATCTAAAATATAGCACTGAACTAACAACAACTTCTAATACTCACAGAGATACTATAGATGAAAGTATATCTGCACCAGGGCCTATGAAGTACAATTTTTCTGCTGAACACTTAAATGTAATAGACTTTCGCCCCAAAGAGCGTCCCACTAGTGCAGGTCTTAAGAAATCTGTTCATTTCGGCGGTGCCAATGGTGATGAAGAAGTTTTAGCTGAAACTTATGAATACCCAAAGTGCCCTTCCGAGAATTGTTCGTGCAGTACACGAAGCTCTTCTACGACAAGCACACAGGACGGTTTTGATAATGCCAAATGTGCTTGCGACTCGCCAACCTGCAAATATGCTGTAAACGATAACAGAGCTACTAATTTCTTAAAACTGGATTTGGAAACGAATCAGTCTTTAAGTGTTACTGAAACAAATAATACAAATTCTTTTGCTGGTATTAAAAATTTGGAGGAATCTGAAGTCATACGAGAATACAAAAGTACAATAGCACAAACATTAGTTAACCCTACGACTAGAAATTTAACAGAAGATAGTAAATCAAAACTGAGCAGCTTCTCTAATCTCAACAATATGGAAACCAGCACGTTTCTTAGTAAATATGCTGCACCCCCAAAAGCGGATATTTTACTAGAAAAACAAAATAACTTGTCTGAATCAAGGAATGGTTCAGCCTATAATAGTCTTGCTGGTAGTAAACGTAATTTGATGGTTGGTGCTGACAAGGAGCCCAGTAAGAGTCACAACAACAATAATACTAATTTAGAGAACTTAAAATCGAAAGTAGCCTACACTTCAACTAGTGATTCTGTCATTAATAATTATTTAAAGGTAACTGCAAGTGTGCCTGTCATTACTAAAAAAAAGGAAAATAATAAGAGTGAGTCCTCCGAGTCTAAGTCAGTAGGTGCGTCGGCGAAAAAAAAGAAGTCTTCTATGCCGGGTATATTAAAACCAAAATCAGTGAGTGCTACTACGGATCGTTCGAAATTGCAAAAGGCGACTAGTTTTAATAGTTTGAGCGAAGATAAAAATTTGAATGAGTTCAATTTGGATAAAGTAGATACGTGGATGTCCATGCATGAATCGACATTGCCGAAAAAGACTACTAAACACTCTTCTTTAGAAGTAGGTATAGATAAGTTGAATGATGTTAGCAGTGAACAAGGGAATGACGAAGAAGAATTGGATGATGATAGCAATTCAAACATTTCTCTAAAATCAGACGGAAATTCACAGGATGATTCCACCTATAATGAAATAGTTTCAGTTATAAAAGAAATCGATGAGGAAAAGAAGAAAGGTAAATCTTTAATGTATTCACAAAATTACAATAATACTATATATAATGTACACCGATGTCGCACCAATACTTACATTTATATATTTTGTATAATATTATCGATAGATAACTATGCGGAACGTAGTATAGTTGACATGGAACTCAAAATTGATACCCCCACCGAAATGGGAGATACCCCGCACAGCACAAACGAATTACGCGAAGCAAGAGAAACACCAGATAAATACAAGTATGCCTTCGTTTTTGTCTTCAGATGTTAATACAATGAAATTGTTTTCAGAGATATACTAAATTACTTGGATAATGTGGAAGATAGTTGTGATAAAACGCTAATGGAGACACGTCGATCCATGCCAGAATCTAATCGTTCTGAAGTTGAGTTTATTGTAGAGCCTGACATAGTTGAAGACGTGCCAAAGTAATTAAATACTGAGATTAATTAATAGTTTATATGTTAAAAAATTTTTCTTGCTAGACTATCGGATCTACTCATGTTACCTAATCACCAATTAGCAAGACGTGTGGTTGCTCTGAGTCTGCGGGCTAACGAACTGGCGAATGCAGTTTATCTATCCAAAGAAAATGTTGCTAAACTGCGAGAAGAGAAGCAGAAGAGCTTGCGAATGGAAAAAACAAATGCAACTAATCGTTTGGCGGACCAAAAGAAGCACTACGAGAGCATCGTACAACGTCATCAGACATTCATTGAACAGGTTGTTACTAGTCTGATTGAAGGAAAATTTTTGCATTATTATATTATTTCTTTTTAGTTATTAAAAGATAAAGGTTCTTTGTGCGAAAAAATAGCTGCACTTACTAGACGTTTGGAGAGTCAAAATCAAGCTTGGGAACACAAGCTTGAAACAGAGACAACGAGAGTGAAAGAAACCACTTTAGCGGGTGAAAAAATTAGACGTGAACGTTGGGTGCGGGAAAACACGAAGAAAATCAAGGTATGTAGAACCAGGATGAGAATTTAGGTCAGGAACACAAACAATTGGAGAATTTGTGAGTGTAGCGAAAGAGAGTGAGTCAAGGACATTTTAAAACAGTACAATTCCCATGTAATGAGAGATAAAGGTTAAAACAGAAGTTATATTGAAGAAGTGAGATGAAGTAAGATGAAGTATACTAAGTATGTGAAAATAAGTGCTAGTGTAGAAAGATTAATAGTAGATATTCAAGGATGTATATACGACTACAAGAAGTATTGTAATAACAATGTAATTGTTTAGACTTGGAACGGATGAGAATGTTAACGAATGAGAAGTAATATTAGTCTAAATAATAGAAATCCTTCCAAGAATCGGATAATTGCTGTCGAAATATAATGAGTGGTATTAAGAATACAATATAACGTGAATATGTGAAAAAGTAATGTAAAGGGAAAGAAATGTAAAGGGAAAAATTATTAGCCCATAGAATTATAATTTATAATTACTGCGGAAATAGGAATATAATATATGAAGTATAATAATATAAAGGAATAAATGTAATGTGTACAGTTAGAAAAGAAAGGATAAAATATTATTAAGTGAAAATAAATAAGAAAATGTATGAAAACGGAAGGAAGTAGTATTAAAGGAGATTAAGAAAAGAAAATAGCAACCTCCACATCCTTTTCTTGTGTAATCATTACTTTCAGACAGTGTGACTGAGATACTAAATTTTAAACTGGATATGCGGTTTAATTGTGAATTTAATATCTCCACAGGAACTCACAGTTAAAGGACTGGAGGCCGAAATTAATAAAATGACATGTGAACACCAACGTGAAGTTACTGAATTGAAACGTTTTCATCAACAACAACTATTGGATTCGCTAGAAGAAGCGCGTATAAAACACGAACAGATTGAGAACAGCATACGTGAAACTTGTGCACAGGATCGTGAGTCCATAATTGAAAAAGAACGAACTGCCATACGAGAAAGGTAAGGATATTCTCTTTCTGAATAAGAAGAATACGAATATTTTTTTCATATGATTGCGACTGTAACATCCTTATCCTTTTAGGTTTGACAGACAAATGGAAGAAGAAAGAAAATCATTTGATGAACAAAAACAAAAACTTTTGGACGATTTATCTGCACAACGTGAAATTCATAAAAATGAATTGAAAGCCAAAGAAAAGGACTACCAGAACAAGCTTTTGGATGTACAACGTGAAAGTCATAATGAATTGGAGCAGAATGTGCTTGAATTGCAAGGAAAAATGTCCAAACAGGATGAAAAATATCAGGTTGTTTTAATATGCTATATAAAAGATCGATGAAGTGTGACACATAAGTTTTAAATGTCTCTTTTGTAGAATCGCATAAATACCATTGAAAAGCAATATGAAGCAGATTTTGAGATATGGAAAAGGGATTATGAGAGCAGCTGCAAATTGGCACAAGTGGAGAAAGAAAACGCTGTACGGCAACATTATCGCGCAGAACGTGACAGACAAATCGACGCTATAGTAGTACGTATGGATGCAGAGGCATTAAAAAATGGAGAGGAATTTGATATGAAAATAAAGTGAGTCTATCATATATATTTAAGAATTATATTGAATGATTAATAACAAAGTAGTATGATATCTATTTTAATGTTTTTTTTAATTGTTGCTAATTTACTACTTACTTCATTTTTTCTGAAAAACAGTCGTTTAAAGGAGAAGTACGAAAGGGATATACATGAAATCGAGTCAGTAGAAAAGTCACTGAGGGAAAAATATACAGACACACGGACTAGACTTGCAGAATCTGATGCTCAAGTTCGTAACTTCCAGGCAGAAATTAAGCAATTACAGATCGAATTGGGGCACAGTAAAAAAGTAAGTCACAAATATAAATTGAAAAAGAAAAGCTTAATTTTACAATATACATCAGCGTGATTATACTTCTTTGATTCCTCGTTTGACTTAAGCGACTTTATGTCTTTCCAGTTATTTAACATTTAAGCATGGGGTTAAATTCTATTTCTTTATCGTATGCTACTAAGTTTAGAATTATAATGCCGTAGTTACTAACTCATAGTGTTGTTACAGCTAAAATAATATCATTCAGCTAATGCTATTTCATTCATCTATGTGTTGTAATCCCGAACGCTATATAAAACATCATCATCCAATTAATAATATTTAATGCGTCATATTTCTCTGCCGAGTGCTGTAATGCCGCTGTTAGAAACTTCTGGTTTTCTCAGATCTAAGACAATAATATCTTATCAAAACTATTTCTGTGGTCCATGCTTCTCTGTTGAGTGTTGTAATGCCATAGTTAGAAACTTCTAGTGTTTTTACATCTGGGACATCATCTAGTTAATGGTACTTCAATCGATTAGCATCAATCTAGGCACATTACTCGCTCAAAGTAATAATTACTCTGCAGCAACAAATGACACTCTGCTATAATTTAAAGTTATAAAATATCTGAGAATAAGATTAAAGTATGAGTGAGACATATACTCTTTGGACTTCTACTCTTCTAATTCTACTTTTAGCATTTCATTGCTTTAAACGCTATGTTAAACACTTTCATTGAGAAAAACTTTGGGGTTAACAGCTGTTTCGCTGCATCTTTTCAACAATAATCACAAAAAGCCTATAATTTTTAAATAATAATGTTTTCATTATTTTTATTATCACATCTCACAGATGTGTGACGAGTTTTTAAACGAACGCGATCAAATGCGAGATAATCTACGTAATGAATTGCAATCGGAAGTGACTTCGTTAAAATCGGAACGCGACGGTGAAATTCAAAAAATTCATAAAAGGTTATTTAATATACATTACAATTATTCCAATATCAATTAATAACTTTTCTTTAGAGTACAACAAGCCATCGAGAAAAAGGATGTGACAATAGATATATTACAGAAGGAAAATGGTTGCTTACGCGAACGTTGTCTAAAACTGGAGGCAGTCATTCGACAACAACGGAAGGATTATTGTGTTAAATAAATTTCAATAAAAGAAATAACTTATGAATTAATAAATGTACTTTTAAGCATTATTTTAAGTTATATATTATAAGGGACTTAAGTTTCTTTCTGAGTGAGACAAAATCTATTTCAGTCTAAAGAGAAAAGGAAGAATTACTGAAAGACTATAAGTTGAAGTCTCCTTTTTCTTAATGGAAAATAAACGTTTATCGATTAAGCTTGAATTTAAGTTTAAGTTTAATTAAGTTATAATTATTAATATCTTAGAAATTAATTAATTCATTATTTTACTTTTTTAAAGCTCTTATTCCTTTCCATAAAAGGAGTAATTCATACCTCATATAGTCATAATTTTATAAATAAAAAGCATCCTAAAGGTATGCTTTGAAATTCATACAAGAATAAAAATACAGCCAGAAATAGACTGCAAAAATATTTTAAGATAAAATATTGAATTCCATTGTCATTTTTAATAATACATAAATAAAAATATTTAGAATTTAAAAATATTTAATTTTTGACAAAAGCCATAAGACTACAACTATGAATTTTCTACAATTTTAATAAGTCTTATAATTCAAAAAATTCAAATTTTTATTGTATATTTAAATTCAAATATTTATTCATTCATTTGCAACATTCAACATTACATTCAGGAAAATATATTCATTAGAAGTGAATTGGCGCAGTTAGTCAATTCCACCACATCATCAGAAAACATTTTAAATGGGGTTAAATATATTTGTGTTTATTTTTCAATCGTAATGTTACGTTACTTGAAAAATCTACAGATGAGTCATCTTTATGTGGGTCTTATTGCAACAACAAAGTGTAATCATGTTTCTATACAAAAGAATGTTGCAAACATTTGTTTTATCTTTGTACTACAAAAACCTGTTGATTGCCGTCTGCGTACGTAGATACAAGTGTGGCTAAGAGGTTAACGTTGTCAACATATGTTGGTTTAGATGGTGTTGAAAAGATATACTGCAGCAACATGCTTGTGGGTAAACATGCTGCTATGTTAAGTCGTTTTGTATGAAGAAAAAGACAACAAACAAATGTTACCAAAGCAAACTAAAAACATTAATAATAATTATTATTCAAGTATTTTAGTACTTTTTTTACTTTTTAATACTTTAGTTAATATTTTTACATTTTAATACTTTCATTCATTGCCCATTCTGAATGCATCCAAGTTGTCAATTACTCACACTAATCGATTTGGAAATGATAAAATGAAAAAGTGGTAATGATTTGGACAAGAATGATCCAAGAAGGTCCAGAGATATTCTACCATGATGAAAATATATAGTCATTGCAAACTCACAGACTTCACAATTAGTCCACAAGTATATTATCACCACCATGGTAAATTCTTCTATGCTCATTAATAAAATGACATTTTATACATATAGAAGAAGTTCATATTATATCGATTTCATTTCAATAGTTCCATGAATAGTCCCAAGAACACAGTAAACAGAGACCTTATGATGTTAGTTGTTCAATAGTGTGGTATTACGTTTCATTAGAATATTCAATTTCGCCTTATTGGATTCGATTGTCTTTATAGCTGCCTGATTATCTATGAAAATGGAAGTAATATTCGAAGGACAAATTGTACTAACTTGTATTTATTAGATTGTTTTTTCGATTGCATGTATCTCAGCCAGAAAGACGCTGTAAGTGTCATAGAGTCGGTATGAACACCATATATCTTGCTTCCGTTCCACACTCTATTTTTAAGCCATATGTGTGCATAATTCTAGAGTTACCTATCTCAGATCCTAACTTTTAGTTTTCTCTGCTCAAGAGAGTGTAGGAATTCAAGTTTCGAAATCCCATATTGTTAACATCCAGTTAGCAGCTGATTCCAAATCATTCTTGTCCAAATCAAAATTGTGTAGTACTCGTAGTTGACTGCTTTTTACTTGATGTTACTTGATGTTTCTGGGTTCAACTTCAAGGTCTTGTGCATATCTTAAGAAGAGAATAACAATAGCTTAAATTTTTGTTAATACCATAAGTAGTTTTAGTAGAAAATGTCGTAAGATAAAAATTAAGTGCTAGTGGCTTAGGCTTTTTTTTTGTGGACAATATTGTCACATCACGACAACCAAGTTAATGAACCCAAATTAATGAAACTGATGATTTCTTAAACATATTTTAATTTTGGACAGCCGAGTAATTACTACACTTTCTTAAGAACTTATTTTACTATTTATATAACTACTTATATACGTTTTATTTCTTTTAAATGTGTAATAAACATATCCTACCATACGCATTTGATCTTTAACGAATGTGTTTTACATACAAAATATTCTTAAGTTAAGTTTTCTTTTATAATACTTTTGCATCATGCAGACTGAATCACAAATTAAAAGCATTACTGCCTATTATTTATAAAAATATAATATAATATATTTTATTTTTTTTAAACACAACAGCAGTTCATTTTATTTCTTTAATACTCTAATGTATGTTGATAATGCATTGAGTATGCAAACATATTGATAGTCGTCACAATGTTTATATACATTTGTTGTTAGCAACATTTAAGTCATCAATATAAGATTACAATCCACAATATACATTCACAATACTTAAGTCGTTACTCGTTAAATATTTTTTAATATTAGATTATGTATATCAATTTTATATAATTATTTAGAAAAGTTTTTACGATATTATAAAAAAAATAAGACTTCTTTCATCTTAATTTATTATTAATTAATTATTTATTCTTTTCCATCATTTTATAGTACACGCCGGATATCAAGAAAGATTTAAGACAATAGATTAAATAGGTATTTGAAGAAAAGGACAGACTTCTAAGCAGGGCTTCGAATTGTAAATTTTTCCGTTTCGGTTGAAAAGACAAATAATATATCGGCTTGGTTTCGGTTTTCGTTTCTGCAAAAATATCGACGCTTTTCGGTTAGGTTCCGGTTCGAAGCCTTGGTTCTAAGGATGAAGAGAATGTATACTTACTAATTTTTAATGTAGTAACGGCTTTTTCTTTATTAGTTATTCTGAAAGGTTTTATTCAATAACTGAAACATATAATACAATATTTTTAAATAAGTCGAGCACATTTATTATAGAAAAATATCTTCATAATTCAAATTGAATAACGATTTTCCTTAGCTAAACCTTATCTTACTAAAATTATGAACTATATTCTAATAATTACTATGAATAGTTATAGTAAATAATTGTAGTTAAATAATTATTTTATTGTGTTGAGCCTCTTCCGAGTTAGTGCATCTGGGTAAATTTACTTTTTGATAGCTGGTCTGCGTGCGGTTCATGATTACTCTGAGATTGGATAGTGTTAAGTAAGGCGGCCTGCCGGCTTTCGCATATAGTTTCAGGGCTTTGTCCCATAAATATTTTTTGACCGGATTTATTTTAAGATTTCTTAGCGTGTCATTCGTGCGGATGTATCATGACTCTTGTTTATATTTTAAAATTAGTTTTTAAAAAAGTTCTTCTAGATGAGTTTACACAAACGACTACTCGTTTGGATTGTATTCCCTGCTACAGCACTAAATTGTGAAGTTACAATCCACACACAAACATGATGTCTAGAGAAGACATCACTCATAGTTATTGCGACTTATTCGTGCTTAAACTGTTGACGGTTGTGGGTCGAGATTTGATTGTGCGCGCATTTAGCCAGAGATTTGGTGAACATTCAATTCAAATAAAAAAATAACAAAACGAAGTGTTCATTTTCTAAGTGAAATATTCAAAAAATTAAATTTATTTTGTTTTAATAGCAGAGAATCTTAAGTAACAAAATGTTCAGTTCATTCACAGGTAAAGCAAAAGTTTTTTTTTTAAATAATAAAATTAAAAAAAATAGTTATTAAAAAAAACAAATATGCAAAGAGTAAAAAGTGCTTTTAAAATGAAAGATTAAATTTGCTATAATTGAAGAACTGCAAAACTGTTTAAAGATAAAGAAAAAAATTTTATTTTGTAACCTATTTAAAAAGGATTTTATTGATTATCAAATAGCACGAAAGACCTCATAACATTAGTCATCATCTATGCCAGTATGAGCTTCTCATATGCCACTTATTCATACTTTTATTTTACTGGTTTTCTGTTGTGAATTTACTCGTATTTGTTGTGAGCAGTTCAAGGATTATTATGTCATCCTGCTGTATAGCTATTCCTTACCTCCAACAATTGCCATATCATCACAGTCAACAATAGCGGCAACGGATATTGCTTGGTTGTGTCCATATAATTTTATGCATTACATTTACTTATTGGTTTTTGTGTTCTACAGTAACGATCCTTCGCAATTCCGTCATCATCCAAACAATTTATGTACTTAACCACCCCAATTGGCATACCCACTATTGACGCAGTCCACCGCTCTTCAGTACAGTCCACCACACACTTCATTACATCGTAGCTTGCACAAATTCATGTTCCCAAAATGCAGAACGGCAGATTCTTCATGTTTTCATGTTTCAGTTTCGAAAATATATTTTAAATTTATTTATGGGTTATTTTCGAAAACATTGTTTTTTTTTAATATTTTACATTAATTTATTTTTAGTTTTTGTTGCTTTTGCTGTGTTTTAAAATTGAATAGAAGCACAAAATTTTATTTGACTTTGGAAAACATATGCTTAACATTTCAACTGAACGATTCTAATCGGAGCCGCAAGTGGGACACAGATTTCTGTCAGTTGAGCTAGTGGAAGGGTAGTGTTTATTAATTTATTTTCATGGTTGTCGAAATTACGCATCAGCGAAAAATATTAATTCGAATAGAATTGAATTATGCCATATGCAAGCTGGAAGTGCGGCAGCAGCTCGTCTCACTGCGAATAGCACGTACACACCCTGATTTTCGAATTCCTATGAAGATATTTTTTAATTATTTTTTCGATATAAGAAATTGCTCTGAAGATTAATAAAATGTTCAATTAATTATATTTTGCATTTATTTATATTGTTTCAATATGTGCAACAAGCGTATAAGAAACATTTATGGATCGAAATTTTTCTAAAAAACAGAGGCGTGGCTCTTTTTAGAAAACTAACTAATAATCAGGCAAAGTCTGTTTATCGTATGCTGCTTTAGGCTTTATGGCTGAAGCTTTAATTTTTTAACTGCTTTTAGGATTTAAATATTATTATCTAGAAAAATGAAGATTTAAAAGATAAAATTGCTTACCTGGTTCTCCAATAATCCCTAAGAGCTACGAAAAAATAGAAAAGGTTAGACTTTCTGGCTGATATTTTTGATTTGGAACTATTAGTGAAGTCATATTAATAAAAATACGTATAATATATGTAAGTTATATACATATATAGCAATTTACTCAGGGATTAAATTCTGAAAAATTAAAAACAAATTATTCTGTAATTCTATTACCTAAGCGTGATGTGCTCAGATTTTCTATCTGCTGTCATTGCTTCCATGACTCATCCCTTTACGTGTGAAATAAGTTGAACATTCCAATAGATAAATAATAGTAATTGTTTATATAAAGTCTCAATTATTTCGATGGATCGGATTTTGCAAAAACAAACACGTTTCTAGTGGCAGTAAATAAACAAATACAATTTCAATTTTAAAATAAAATTATCGTAACAATAATTTTACGACGCCTACATTGTAATATGAAATTGTTTATAATTGAATAGAATTTTTAATTTTTATTTTAATTTAGGCGGCATTTGTTTACAAATTTAGTTAAGGTATATGCAGTGGGAGAAAGAGTGACCTATTTTTCTCGTACCGCTTGTTTTCGCGTACATTTAAAAGTGTGCACAACTTTCATATACAAATATAGTTGAAAGTAGTAACTCTTTTACACTTTTGTGATATAAGATAAAATGAAATAAAATTCAAGCATAGTAGGTCTTTTGTCCTATGCCCTATGCTCCATTAGGAGAAGAGAACAGCGGTAAGTAAGTAAGAGCCTTTTGTGATCCAATAACTTAATGGAACAAAAACACTCAACCTTTCGAGACAACGACAGAATAGCCTTCGTTGGTGACTTTCTAAAACGAAACCAGGTCAGGAGCACCCGTAAAAACTTTGTCTTTCCTGGTAGAGTTTAGGTGGGAGCGACACTTCGCATACTTTGTGGTTGTAAGAGCAAAAAAATTTTATTTTGTATTAGCTCATCCAAGTACAGGATAATAATGTTTACTGTGATATAGCGGCTACTGTAGGTTTAAGGGAGACCTATGTAATATAGGTATACTAGCATCAAACCCCTTGTGCAGATACTGCAATAAAAGACTGACTCGAGATAGCAAATACTAAGAAAACACAATGCACTGATGCACTAGGTCAATATACATACTATGAAATTGCAACGAACTAATGTAAAGAGGGTTAGAGAGAATTAGTAATGTTAAGTAACATAAGCGCATGTTTTGAGTTCTTGCAGACAACAGGACTGAATAAGTTTTTTATTTAGATACCTTGTATTACCAGAGCATAGTTTACTGATTCTATTGGTCGCAGTACTTCAAATACCCCATTCTCAAGCATTAACATTAACCCATTTCGTTGAGATAGTAGCGCAGATTAGTAACTCTCGCCAGTTAATCTGCAAATAACCTCAGTACTATCTTATTATTAACAGAGTTGAGATTGCTGGTGGGATATTTAACGGGTCACCATGAATTGCGTTATCATTTTAAGAAAATGGGTTTGTCTGAAGAGATAGATTGTCAACTCTGCTTAGAAGCACACAAGACTTCCAGTCAAATTTTTTGTGACTGACCTTGATCTGGGCCAGGAGGAGGTCACTGCTGTTCGGTTAGGATCTGTTGCAGCACAAAAGATCAATCAAGGTCGTAGTGCTCCGCTCCATTGGGAGCTAGTATCACGTTTATTTCTATTCCTATCTTATTATTATGTCTAGTTAGACAAACCTATCTTGATTAAGTAATGCGGCGTAAAATACCTAAAATACTATAGAGTATGCTAAACACTATAGTATCTTAATTTTTCTAAGGACGAAATTTAATAATAACTACATACTTGTTGTTTTTGTATATTTGTCTTTTAAAAAAATAGCCTTTTGTATGATTATTTGTTTGTTAGTGATAAATTATCAAGATTTCGCACACGATTTTAAGTGATTACGAAATACGAGTACTTTTTCGCAAGCGTTTAGCACAGTACTGCGCATGGGAATAGGCCCACGGCTTGATGTTGTTGTTTTGTGAAGTTACCGTAGCAAATTTGATAGAATATTTCCGTTATTTATTTGAGCTACTTATGCTTATAACATTATTTTTATTAGCATCACGCTTAACATATGTCTCCCACCAAAAGTTTTTCTAAAATTTTCCCCAGAGAAGTATTCAAATCAATTTCACAATATCTTAATCGAAATGAAGCAGTTGGCAACAGCAGCAATTTCTCTCAAAACACAGAGCAAAAAAATAAAAAAAAAAAAATAAATAAATAAAAATCATTTTAGGCTATTAGAAAGTATCTATAAATTAAAATTTGATAGTTTTGCTCTTGGAAATTATTTATGTTTTCTTTTTAGTTTATGTGGAGATTTTCTTAGGAAAGCGCCTATAAATTTTTCTCGCTAGCGTTGCTGGTCTTTGGCTATTCTCGGTTATGGATTTCGGTTTGGAAATGTAAACTATTAAAATATCTGCTTGTAATAATGTTTTCCATTTGCACACTTGCGGTCGTCTTAATATTGTTTTCATTTATTCATTGTTTTTGTTTTTGATTTTTTCATTGATTCGAGATACAAATATACTTAAAATTCCACCACGTAATTTGCACAACTAAATTTAGCAAAATGAAATAATAAAATTTAAGTTTGCTGCCTTTTAGAAAACGTGTTTGGCACAAAATTCAAACTTTTCAAATTTAAACATAAAATTTTTTTAAAAATATTCATATATATATAAATATTGAAAAAAAGTTTATGTTAAAATAGTAAAATAATTTATATGTATAAGTAACGATAATAGCAAAGTTTGAATAAAATAAATTGGCTGCCTTCAAAACTTTTGTTTGGTAAGGTTTTGCTAATTTTATTAATTTTACTAATTTCTAATATATATAGATATACATATATATCTACATATATACATGTGTATATATTTTAGAAGTTTTCTATTAAAATTTTGTATTTTGCGCAACAAAATTTGGCAACAAATTCTGAAACAATAATTTTTTACAATCAGAAATTTACTATATTACGCATTTTATATAAGCTATTAAGAGGCAATTTTTCTACAGTTTTCATTTCTTAAAAGTGATCTATTTAATATCTGAATATGCACTTCCAGACAATTCACTATTTCATTATTGGATAAAGATAAAATGTTAATTAATAAAATTTCAGATAGCTTTTCTTTCGAAGTCTTTAAAATATTTGAAATAATTCACTGAAATAATTCTTGTAGTCTCGACTCATACATATTATATACTGAAATGTATTCCTATAAACTTTTTTTATTAATAGAAAACTTAGAAAATATTGCCATACGTGATTCTAGCACATTGTTCTGATGTTTCAATTTTAATTCCTTCATTTCGCTGTTCAGGTATTTCATTAGCTCTGTTTGCTCTTATTCGAATTGTTTTTAATTTCAAACGTTCATTAGGTTGTTAAACAATATGTTTGTCTTTTATATTTTCCGTCATATTTATTATCACTGCACTTATTTTGCTATATATGTTATCCTCATTTAATGACATTTTTATTTTTATAGACGGAATTTAATAATAAAAATGTTTAATTTTATTAAATCTTGCTTAATATAAAGTGGAATAAAATTTACTTAATTCAATTTTCGATTTG